GTGTGTGTGTGTGTGTGTGTGTGTGTGTGTGTGTGTGTGTGTGTGTGTGATGCATCAAATGCATTTCAATTTTTTCCATAATTAGAAAAGAACTTAAAAGACAGCTCCTTAAATAATCACAGAGAACCATCAGTTTTCTCAAGGTACCTGTAATCATGCTGGATATAATTAATGGCAAAATGATGAGTTTCAGCATCCTCATTAGGATTTCCCCGGGAAAAGCAAAGTAGAATTTCTCCAGACTAGAGAGCTTGCTGTATTCTCGAACCAAGACTCCTATGGTGATCCCTAAGAAAGATTGGAAAGAAGAAAAGAAAACCAGCATTGAGTTCTTCTTTGTACATTTCTATGGAAAAATATCCCCCCACCCGAACCCCTATATTTTATTGGCAAGAAAAACAGTTTAGACGGTTTTCCACAATTCTGTAAATTTTATTTATTTTATTTATTTATTTTTAAGATTTTATTTATTTATTTGACAGAGAGACACAGCAAGAGAGAGAGAACACAAGCAGGGGGAGTGGGAGAGGGAGAAGCAGGCCTCCCACCGAGCAGGGAGCCCGATGCGGGGCTCGATCCCAAGACCCTGGGATCATGACCTGAGTCGAAGGCAGACACTTAATGACGGAGCCACCCAGGAGCCCCACGGTTCTGTAAATTTTAGACTTAAAAAACAAATCACATTTTATTTTTTTTAAGATTTATTTATTTATTTGACAGAGAGAGGCACAGCGAGAGAGGGAACACAAGCAGGGGGAGTGGGAGAGGGAGAAGCAGGCTTCCCGCGGAGCAGGGGGCCCGATGCGGGGCTCGATCCCAGGACCCTGGGACCATGACCTGAGCCGAAGGCAGACGCTTAACGACTGAGCCACCCAGGCGCCCAAAACAAATCACATTTTAATGAACACAAAGTACACACTATTCAGTGAGTTTGTAAAAAATATTCTTCACGTGAAAATTTTTTTCATTTTTCTCCTCCAATTATATTTATTATGACAAAACATCAAAAAAAAAAAAAAACAACAACACCGTGAGAAGGAAAAGAAATTCATCATCTTTGTCAACCCAAAATAACTACTTTTGTTTTTACACACTCCCCTTAGTGTTCATCTACCTTAGGTATTTTACATTTTATTTTAATTTATTTTATTTTAAGTAATCTCTACCCCCAACATGGGGCTCGAACTCACCACCCTGAGATCAAGACTCACACGCTCTTCGGCTCAGCCAGCCAGGTGTTTTACATTTTATAGTTTACATATCAATGTTCATTTTTCTCATTTTCTCATAAATACTCTTTTCATGATAGTTTTATGACACTCTATTTATGCAACTTTTGTGATTTTAATAGCAACATAAGGTTCTCTTGGTTTGATATATTTACATGTTGCTGAACAACTGTGCTGTCTAATGCTCTCTATTCTGTGTTGGCTATTTCTAGATGATGATGTGTCCAAATTGGTCTGATCAAGAGGCTTTTTATGAAGCTACTGAACCTGAGTACCTTGGACACTGAAGCTGGTATTTCTGTGAGTGTAGGGAAATGTTCAAAATCAAGAAATGTTACACAGTGGACCCCTGAACAATGCTGGGGTTCAGGGCACCAATCCCCACACAAATGAAAATCCACATATAACTTCTGTCTCCACAAAAACATAATTGATAACAGCCTGCTGTTAACTGAGAGCCTTACCCAGAACATAAACAGTCAATTAATGTGTATTTTGTATGCTATATGTACTGTGAACTGGATTCTTACAATAAACTAAGCTAGAGAAAAGAAAATGTTATTAAGAAAGTCATAAGGAAAAGACATTTACAGTGCTGGACTGCATTTATTGAAAAAGAAATTCGTGTGTACATGGACTCGCACAGGTTAAACCCATGTTGTTCAAGCTCTGAAAGCTTGCCTTCACAAGACGTCTACATGAATTCTTTCCTTGTGCTGGTTTTGGTAACTACAAATCACTAATTTTAAATATTTCTTACTTATTCTCTCCCGAACGGTCCCAATGTCTAACTGCCTTACTTCTTCTGACCCTCACACATTGCTGCTTTGCAACACCCCCTTTTATATTTTTAAAGATTTTATTTACTTATTAGAGAGAGAGAGAGAGCATGAGCAGGGGGAAGGGGAAAGAGAGAATCTAAAGCAGACTCTGTGCTGAGTGTGGAGCCCACTGTGGGGCTCGATTTCATGATCCTGAGATCACTACCGGAGCTGAAACCAAGAGTCAGATGCTTAATGGACTGGGCCACCCAGGACCCCCCTTATATATCTATATTTTATTTTTATTTATTTGACAAAGAGAGAGAGACAGCGAGAGAGGGAACACAAGCAGGGGGAGTGGGAGAGGGAGAAGCAGGCTTCCCGCCGAGCAGGGAGCCCGACGCGGGGCTCGATCCCAGGACCCCGGGATCATGACCTGAGCTGAAGGCAGACGCTTAACAGTAGAGCCAACCTTTTATATTTTTTTAAATTTATTTCTTTTAAGGAATCTTTCCACCCTACCTGGGACTCAAACTCACAACCCCAAGATCAAGAGTCACACGCTCTTCCGAATGAGCCAGCCAGGCGCCCCATCACACGCCCCATGTTTTTTAAACCAAGACATAAGATGGGCCGGGATGACTTGCACATGCTCTTCCTTCATCAGCCTCTGAGGATGATATGCAAATGGGAGATAAAATGGCTAAACAGCAGAAAGACTCAAGCAGGACCTCACTGAATCTGCTCCTTTACAAACTCAAATAATTAGTTTGTGAAAATTTAGTTACCCGGGCACAGTTAAGAACTCTAGGTCAACAAAGACAGATGTGAATTCTAATCAATACTAGAGTTTTCATTTAAATCCAGATATACTTCCCATGTCCATGAGCAGGGCCAAATAAAGGAACCCCACAAGATACCTCTGTGTAGTGACCTTATCCTTGGTTGGTTTAATTTTATTTTCCTACCTGATCCACCATTGTCCTGATCTCTTTATTTGGGGCATGCATTTCTATATGTATTTCTGATCAGCCATTTTTAATTATTTTTGGAACAAACATATACAAAAACACTTCTCAAATTGTAGCCAAGACCAGAAAAAAAAAAAAAGCTCAATATCAATCCTGTTTGATTCATATTTCAAAACCTAGGGTTAAAGATTCCTAAATGGTTCAGAACGGCAAGGATTCAAAATATTTTCAGCGAATTTAAAAAGCACATTGTGCTCACTTCCTACTTAATAAATGCCTATGTTCAGCTGTCCTATATGGAACATACCTACTTTATGCTGTAAGGATACTCTGTAGTGTTCAGTGTTTAAAGAAACCAAACAGACATTCTCTCTCATACTCTTTAGGTTGCCTCAAGTAAATTTTTGGCTTGTATGTCAAAGAAAGCTCTGTGTGTAAAAAGAAAGGAGATGTGTCTGTGTTCAAAAACCCACCACAAAAGCACTCTGTTGAGTAGCAAAAGAACCCCAGGTGCTCCAATTTTAGGGTTTATATTACTAGCGATTAACTGTGTCTCTAATCATCTCCATCCCAAATAAATGCAGGGAAATTAGAAAGAAGTGTACTTGCTATTTTTCAGCCTTTATCCAGATAATGGGTTTTTATGGGAGACATAAAAGAGTCACCACAAAGAGCCATTTCAAAGCTATCAGAGGGACAAGCACCACGAATAGGTTATTCTGTTTAGTAACGAAAACTTTCTATCAAGTGTGTTTTTGAAGTTGAGTATCACAAGTTGTAATTTCTCCCTCCCACCCTTCCTTTTTTTTTTCTGAAAAGGAGGAGAATATAAATACCAACCAAGACCTGGAAAAGCATTTGAAAGATTTACCCTGGGCCAGAGATGCCATCCCAGAACCCTCAAGTGTTCTTGTAAAGAACTTCAGCCAGGAGTTACACCTTGTAAATGCACGTGTTTTATCTGGGTCTCAAAGCAGTTTGGAGAAATTGGATGCCTGATAAGAAAAATCAGCGGAAGATTTTCCAGGTCCCAAGATGAAGTCAGGATTTCACGGGGCACAGTGAATCTCTACCCTCTTCCAGGGCCAGAATGGTGGACTAGATTTAAGAACACAGAGGGTGTCCAGCGTCAAAGGATGCTGGGAATACGAACCTGCCTGAAGGTACACGGGTCAGACCCACCTGGCAAGACCACTCCCAGAACTAGGGACGGTCAAGATCAAGAACCTCTCTGAATGGCATAGCTCTCCAGAGGCCTTGGGCAGGGCCAACAAGGAAGCCCAAAGGTAGAATTGTTATGTAGACCTCTGGAGCCCCAGAAATTACCAGGAAGTCATTCTCAGGCGGCTTTCTCTCACTCAGGCAAGAAGATCCCAAGCAGGTATGAAGGCAGCTTGGGAAGAGCTCCGTGTTAGCACCACTGGCTTGAGTTCCGGCTCTGCCATTTACAAGGTTTGTAACTTGGGCCATAATTTTAACCCCTCCCATCACTGAGTGGTGGGATTGAAGGTATGGGGCAAGAGGCTTGGATGAGATGCCCTCAAGGTCCATTCTAAGGCACAAGATGCTGTGATAATCCCTGAGCGTTGGTGTCCTCAGCTTTAAAATGGGCTCATAGGGGGCACCTGGGTGGCTCAGTCAGTTAAGCACCTGCCTTCCCCTCGGGTCATGATCCCGGGGTCCTGAGACTGAGCCCCATGTCGGGCTCCCTGCTCAGCGGGGAGCCTGCTTCTCCCTCTCCCTCTGCCATTCGCCTTGCTTGTGCTCTCTCCCTGTCAAATAAATAAACAAAATCTTAAAAATAAAATAAAATAAAATAAAATAAAATAAAATAAAATAAAATGGGCTCATAGGACCTGTTCATTGGCTCCTAGAGAGCTGGCTGGGCCTTCCCCACTGTTCATGCTACGTGTATCAGTAAAATAGGGAAGGAAGAAACTCAGGAGGAAAACAATTAAGACCTCAGCTGGAGATTTCTTCTTCAAGTTCATGTTGTCTCAAACAATTGACAGTCCAGTAGCCCTATCTTGGAAGAAATGGGGTGATTTTTTTTCACTCTAAGCTCATAAAAAATTATTGTTCAAGAAATAATTCTGGAGGGGCGCCCGGCTGGCTCAGTTGGTGGAGTCACAATGGGTGTAGAAATTACTTAAAAATAAAAGAAATAATTTTAGAAATGAAAATAAAAGAAAAAGTCATGTAAAATAATTTATACTGACCTATCCTCCCCCTCCCCCACTTTTCAGGTTCTATCCAGCCTTTGTTCTTACGTACATGTGTTTTTTTATAGTTATAAAAATTAATCCGGGGATAGTAGCTGAATTGCA